CAATTTATTACCATGGTTGAACTTAGAGCCAAAACCGACCCAACCCGACTCAAACCAACCAGGTCGGTTTTGCTTAACACAGGGTCGGTGTTGGTTTCAATTTCAAGTAACCCGACCAAGTCGGATCGGTTGAAAAAATCTCAATAAACCGACCCAACCCGACCTGTGAACAGCCCTAGTACTTTCCCTCATCGGTAATTTGAAAGCTATTAAAAATAATAGGCTGAATGACGGTTCAGCCCAGGGTCAGAATTTTTATGCTCAAAATACAGTTAGGGTAGGTACCAGTTTGGAATTGATGTCAATTTACGGATGGGCATTGATATATAGAGTGAGAATATTTGATACTTAGAATGTTTATAGATCTGCAGTGAATTCAAAAATTTGCATTAGGCCTGTCTATACTTTTCCAAAAATAAATAAGTAGACGAATAGATGTCTAAGTGTTTCTATGAACTAGTCTTAAAAATCTACTTGATGATTGTGGCCTTCTCGATTTAGGGTTACATGGACTTGTGCCTACGTGGTGATCATTGGTGGAAACCCTAGATTCTTTTACACAAAGATATTCTACAAATAAGCAATGGCTTTCAAATTGGTACAAATCATCCCTATAGTTCAAAACCAAGATATTAGAATTGCCAAGGCAAAGTGAAGAAGAGATTAAAGCCACTGTAGTGAATGACAATGCCTTTATTATTGGAGGCAATAAGTTAAAATTGGAATTAGAGATGGTATGATTGGGAAGAGTTATACTAGAATCAATGCTCCCACAGTATGATTGGTTAAAGAATGGAGATAACAATACTATATACTTTCACATAACTACAACCACTAGAAAGAAGAAAAAAAGTATTTTCTTTTTTTTTTTTTGGCTAAAAGATGATACTATTACTTGGACCTTAGATCATAAACAAATTAAGAACTATTGTAACCTTCTATAACCTCTCATTATAACTTCACTACTATGAATCATGATCTTCTAAAATCGACCACAACTTTGTTTGGTTCACAACAATGAGCTTTGTGAATTCATAGAAGGTTTGCTCTAAAACCCTATAAGCATTTCTTTTTTTTAATGACACATTTTTGGTTCTTATACCAAAAAAAAGTAACGAGTACAATCTACCAACAACTTTCGACCCATTGGGTTGGTCCATATCACTTCTAAAATTTTAACAAAATTATTGATTTGGAGACTAGGTGGCATTTGGCATTCCTTATTTTAAGGACTTGTTTCCCTTTTACAGTTAAAAACTCGTTATTTATATAGTCATTTTAACGGCAAAAGGGGGATGAGTCCTTAAAATAAGGAATGCCAAATGCAGACTAAACCTTCTTCTTTGCAAATCCTCAACAATGTTGTGGTGGCCAGGGAAGTATTGTATTCAATGAATAAAAGAAAATTAGGCAAAGGGTACTTCTTGTTGAAGATTAATCTTGATAAGGCAAGTTCACATCTGTGCCTCACAATGTCCCACAGCACATCCCCATCGTGTATTGGGAACATCTCCCGATGATAGTACCAGAACTAATGATGTCATCACCGGGAGATATTTTTCCAATACACGGCGGAGATGTGCTGTATGTGGGATGTTGTGGGGTGCAGATCTGAACTCTGCTAAGGCATATGTTGTGTGAAGTTGTCATTTCTGATTCACTGATTGAAGATTTTCGGTTTCTTGGAGGATTTCTATTCTCTTCTATAGGCGTGCATAGGTTCAACATCCTTGAAGGTGATCATAAACAGTGATTGTAGCAATCCTTTTACTCCCTAATGAGAATTGAGGGAAGGGTATCCTCTCTTACCCTACTTATTTATTTACATATATAGAGGTCTTCTCTTTTAGGGATGTCAATTGGACTGAATTTGGTCCAATCCGATCCAGTCCAATGTGAGTCCATTATAAATGGATCAGGTCCAATCCAATCCAATGAATGCTTTGGACCAATTTGGATCGGTCCAATTCAATGTTTGGACCATCCAATCTGTTCAAATTCATTTTGATTTAGATTGGTATCAACCCAAACCCGACCCATTGATACATATATTCTTATCTTATATTAATGGACCAGATATTGGCTTAATCCAACCCAATTCAATATAAATTTGTTACAGATGGACTAGGTCCAATCCAATCTAATAAATATTTTAGACCAGATAGGTCCAATCCAATATGTTTTGTTGGTCCGTCCAATCCATCTAAATTAATTTTGGACTGGATGGGGTCCAATCCAAAACCAGTCCATTGACACCCTTACTCTCTATGCTACTGACTTCTTCATTGATAAATGGTGAGTTAAAGGGCTTTAGAATTTGTAATTCCCATGAATTCCTAGCTCATTCGCTTTATACAGATGCTATACTACTCTTTGGAGAAGCCAACCATGCATATGGTCAGAACATTTTGGGTCTAGGTTGTTATCACTACAAACCTATGGTCCGAATGATTGAAGATGTGACATGGAAGTAACGAGGTACATCCTGAAAGAAAAAACTCTGCAAACACTCTGAAAGCATGGAAAATTGAAAACATCTCTCAAAGAATTTAATTAATGTACATGTATGGGAGATATTTGCAATTATCTTCTTCTTTCTTCTTCTTCTTCGCGCGTTATTTCTTTCTTCTTTGCCAATTTCTCCATCGATTTCTTCTTCGCCAATTTCTCCACCGATTCAAAGGAAGCCACAACCATGGACGATCTCCATCGATTTAGAGAATTATGAAGCCAGCCACGAATAGAGGTTGCCTTGAGAACTCGATTGCTTCAGAGCAGAGGTTGCCTTGAAAGCCAGAACAGAAGTCGATTTGAAAACTGGATTGCTTGAGAACAGAAGTCAATTCGAAAACTCGATTGCTTCAGAACAGAAGTCGATTTGAAAACGCGAATAGAGGTTGCCTTGAAAGCCAGCCACAAACCGATTCAAAGGAAGATTTGAAGGCAGAGCAATTGCATTGAAGCCAGAGAGTTCACTCGACTACATAGTGTTTCGCTCCTAGTACTCCATTCCTGTTCCTGTGACTCCAGTAGATTATTTTCCCAGTGATGCTTGTGTGAGTCGAATACATACCTGTGTTTATTTATTTGGTTAATTACGCTTTTGTTCATTTTAATTCATTGATTTATTCTGTTATTTCGTTGTTGGTTCTTGGGAATCAAATTCTGGGGATTAATTTATATTAGTATACTCATAAGATTTCTCTATGAKCTAGGGATTAGGTCATTGGCCTTTAACTCTATTATATACAGATTGATTCAGCAGAGACCCTCTCTTAGTTGTTACACAAATTATATAATAGTCCATCTCTTAGTTGTGGGTTTTTATTTAAGAGAAAATCATAAAATAAAACATTGAATGAGAAGAGAGTCTACTGTAACATCAAATGCAATGGTTATATTCAACAAAGAAAATGTTATACAGGATGTAAGAAAAATCAGTTGATGGGGAACTCGGTTTCTGTTTCGACAATGAATCCTTTTTAAATAGAAAAATATTAATCACTTGAAGTCTTGAACATAACTCAGCTAATTTTTTTAGAAGGCCTAGCTCAGCTAAAAGATGTCCCGATCTGATCTAGATACAATTTTAAAATCTTTATGTGGTCTATTTCATCTATATGGATAATGAGTCAAAAGTTTATATGGCCCTGAACGTTCCCATATTATAGAAGGAATTAGAAGCCACAATTAGATTTTTTTTTTTTTTTATGGAACTTGCCATGTATGAGATGTGTGGTGTTCGATCATGTTGATAGATTGTTGGAATGTATATTGTTGGCAGGCGAATTAGACTATGGGAAAAGGATAACCAATCCACAATTTGGTAGATATGATATCGGAAAAACAACTGACCAATAAATAGAGTTTGGTATATCACATTCTTGTTTAATTGGGTTTACGCTCCGGTAGGTAAATTCATGCCTCACCCAATCCACTTACATTCCTAAGCCCTCATAATTTCAAAACAAAAGCAACTATCATATCAATAAAAACAATATAACTATAACGACACCTGCCATGTATGAGGTGTGCCGTGTTATATCATGTTGATGGATTGTTGGAATATATATTGTTGGCAGGTGATTAGGACTAGGGGAGCGGGGGATAACCAACCCACAATTTGGTAGAGTCTGGATCTGCTCCTCTCAGAGCATGCCTCACAACATGTCCTGACCGCACATGGAGAACATCTTCCATACTTGTATTTATTATTTATGGGGAGATATTCCCAATACAGGGTGGAATGTGACTGTGCACAAAATAAGGTTTAAACATCAAAAACAGAGTATTTTGAAAATATTGTGGGGGGTAAAACAGAGTTTGGTATCACATTCTTGTTTAATTGTAAATTCATGCCATACTCAACCTGCTAACATTCCTAAGTAGGGGTGTCCACAGTTCGGTTAACCAAACCATGGCCCTTTTTGTAAACCGAACCATTGGCACCGGTTTTTTTATTTTGCTAAACCGAAACTGAACCAGTACCACCGGTTAACCGGTCCACCAATTTCAGTTTTTGACCAGTTTGATTCTTTGGTTTTTAATATTTATAATATATATAATATAAATATATGTATAATATTATATTATAAATAATAAATGATATATAATATATTTATAAATAGATCATTATAAATATAATATAAGTATATATTTATATATATAATATATATATATATATATTTATATATTTATATATTTATATAAAATACATAGAAGATATGTGACATATATTAAAAATATATATAAAATATACATATAAATATATATACCTGTTGGTTCGATTAACCGTCGGTTTTTTATAGGTTAACAAAAAAATGAACCGGTCCTTTGATTTTTCAAAAATTCAAACCGAAACCGAAACCGAACCGATCGATTCAATTAATTGCATTTTGCGATTCAATTTTCTCAGTTCGGTTCAGTTTTTCGATTTTTCATGACACCCTTATTCCTAAACCCTCACAATTTTGTTTTTCAAAAGAAAACAGCTATCATATCAACAAAAACAATGTAATTATAACGGAACCTGGTGTTAATATTCCTTCATCTTGCTTGGTGAACCCCAACTCCAATGCCGAGAAACTTTTCTCTGATCAAATTCAATTCTCTAACAACATGGCTCGTGTCAATTCGTTCTCTAGGCTGTTCTGCTGAGCATTCGACTCCGATTCTTATTAATGAAGTCATAAACTCTTGCATTGTCTCCTTTTTGCGACTCAGATCCTCAAAGTTGATTCTACCTTCCTCATTTGTTTCATCTTCTTCTTCTTGGAGCATTGGGTCTAAAATCTCCATCACTTGTTCAGGCAAAGCCATTTTTGCAAATTTATGGAGGTTTAAATCATCTTTGAACATCTCATGTGTGGGTCTTTTTCCTGTGAACATCTCTAGTAAAAGGATTCCATAGCTGTAGACATCTCCATAAGTTGATACCTCACCATTTGTACCATATTCTGAGATTTATACACCTCTCATTAGTTATGAGAACTATGACAGAAATAACCAGATTATGTGAAAAAGGAAAAAAGAAAATTGAGTTGAGTTTTTGCCTTATTGTGCTCTTTAAAATAATCAGATATTAGAATATTTGAGAGTATAGTGATCAACCTAATTTCAGATTCAATAGTTATACAACCCATTAAACTGAATAGCAGGAAATTGTTTTGATTTTTTAACAAAATTGTTGAAATGTCCATGTTTAATTGAGGTTCCCAAGGAAATAATCGCAAAAGTTATTACCCGGCTCATGTCTCAAATTTTTCGTTTGATTCAAGGAGGTGTTCGACAACACCCTATTAATTAGATGGTCTGAACATTTTGTGGAAAAGGGCCAATTATTTTTATTTTATTTTTTATTTATTTATTGATAAATAATACACATTACAAAAGGTTCAGTAGTAAAAACAGAGTAAGGTGCACTTGAGGCAAGTGGCCATCCTGTGGAGGGTTGCAACTTGCGTCGGGTCAGATTGGGCATTTGTTAAATTTTCAAAATGGGTCCAAACACTAACCCAAAGCTTGTATCAAAGGCTCAATATTTCAATCGATTTGTCCCAGATTGAGATATTGAGATGTATCATGCCATATGGGGCCTATCTGAACACTTAAACTTAGGAACTTTTAAAAATTGATGGTTTTATATTTTAAATAGGCCTATATCCTGTGAAAATATAATATAGAATACAATAAGATAAAATAAAGGATATTATGCAAAACTCACCATATTTTTTTTTTTATTTCTGTTAAATTCATCATGTCTGTAAAATTTTCATAGAGCCCTTGTCAATGAGTTTTATTGTCTAAGGCTTCTTTTGATTGCACTTTTCAGTTGTCTAAATCTGAAAACATTGCTTTTGAGATCCAAACATTTGTTTGGTTTCTATTCTTAAAATCTGAATCATATTTTCAGATCTAAAAATTGTAGACCTTGGGCTGGCTCTTAACGTGTTCAGACGCGTTTCAAAGCCAGTGCAAGGTCGAAGCTGCCCTTACAATATTTTGGAAATGACGCGCACTACCCCTCCTATCATCTCGCACGCTCAAGTTTCTCCCTCTCTCTCTCTCTCTCTCTCTCTCTCTCTCTATCTATCTATCTATCTCTCTTGCTCTCTCCGCCCTGTCTTCCCACCACCGCCGCTGCAACTTGCAACTACGGCTCTCTCTCTCTCTCCCCTGTCTTCCCGGTTCTCTCTCTTGCTCTCTCTCTCTCCCCGTCTTCCCAGTTCTCTCTCTCTCTCTCTCTCTCCTATCTTCCCACCACCGCTACAACATGCATCAGTGGTGGTTTGGTGAATAATAATAATATTTTTATTAAACATTAATTATTTTTTATTAAATTTACTTGTATTATTTATTAATTATGAATTATTTATAAACTATTAATTTGTTATTTTTTCATTAATTTTTAAAAATTATTTTAATTTTTATTTGTGTAAATTACTAATTTATTATTTTATATTTATATTGTTTCAATATTATTTTGAGGTTGAAAATTATTTTTTATGAGATAATACAAATTGAACTCAACATTTCCAAATATATGTTTTAGGGGTAAAATAGTAAAATCAGTAAATTTCAAATGGTAAATGATTGATCCAACACAAACAAACTTATGGATTCAGATCCTTTAAAAAGTAGAAAAGCATCTATGCCTCTTTTTAGATTTCAGACACTTTTAATATCTTTTTAACTTTTCAGATTTATCAAACACCACCTAAATCTCACTTTCTATTAATGGAAGTTGTCCACGTATTAATTTGACTACTTTATGTAACCAAACTACCCTTGAATGATCAGTCAACTTTATTAAATATTTCTATGACAAAATTTCCCCTGACTGATGTGGGCCCAGGCTCAAGTTAAAGGTAATTTTTTATGAAAAGTATYAATAAGCTTCAAGAATATTTCGGTCTTGTAAAATACTCAAATGCTTATGTGAATAACTTCTGTTAATAATCACTAATGGTGAATTAACAAAAATCATAGGGAAATGTGACAAAAAGGGTATCTTTGAAGATTTCAAAAAACTAATGAAAACTTTAGAGTTCAGTCTTATTAGGGGTAATTTGGTCCTCCAATGATATCACGACATGTGGCATTGTAGAACAATAGAGTAACATCTAGGCACAATGTAAACAAACCCTAGGAGCACTTCTAACACTTCATAACCACATCGATGACCTACTTCCACCGATCTAACCCAACTTTGGTTAGCGACCTACCTAACATGCCAAGTGACCTCCCCCTTAAGCGGGCTAATGCCTCCGAATTCCCCAGGATCATGACACCACGTCAGAAGAGCTGGTTATTGCCCCACCCACTTCAGGCGGGATTGGATAAACATTACCTGTTTACACGGAGTCCACCTCAAGGTTTAAAACCACCTCCGAACCAAACGGGCCAAAAATCCCGGACGCGTTTCATGAGGCTCATAGCAGCTCGCCAATATAAATGCCTCACCTCCAACCTCACAAGGTACGTGCGATTTAGCTCTCTCAATTCTCTAGATTTCTTGCTTTCTTGCAAATAACTACCAACTCGCTAACTCAAGCATCGGAGTGCCCACCCCAGGTCAAGCTACCCAAACACTCTGATAACCACTTTCTTGCTACCCGGAGTGCCCACCCTGGGTCACGCGTTTCGTGAGGATCACGACAACTCGCCTATATAAACACCTCACCTCCAACCTCACAAGGTACGTGCGATTTAGCTCTCTCAATTCTGTAGCTCTCTTGTTTTCTTGCAAATAACTACCAATTCGCTAACTTAAGCATTGGAGTGCCCACCTCGGGTCAAGCTACCCAGACACTCTGATAACCACTTTTTGTAGCTCGACCAGGCAACCTACTTAGTCTAGCATCTGAGCTATTTGCTAGCAAGGAGCACCAAATCACACATCATCTCAGTCCATCTCATAAACTTTTATTAGTTTTTTTTTTGAGTTTTGCTTACAATATAATGAATTTTAAATAATATCCCAAGACACAATGTACATTTTTTACTGGTCTAGTATCCTATACCGGTCTACAAGYTCGTAAACGTTCAAGTAGCCAGTTCGGTGGAACCAAACTCAGATTTACTTTTGGGCTGACGATGGGAGGATGAGGCTCCCTTCTTGGAACCTCATCGTTCCTGGACCGAGGATTCCTCCTTGGCTTAGTAGGATGGACCCCTCTCTTCCCCGGACTTGACACTCGACATGATAAAAGCAAAGAATGGATCAAGGGGAAGATGACTCACCTAGAATGAAAAGACTGATCTCACCAACGACTTCAACAACGCCAAGCTTCATGACCTCACTATGCACCATAACTCCAAGGTTAGGGATGAGTGAAGTGGGCCCCTGAGGGTCCTATTTATAGATAAACCAAACTATGGACGGTTGTGATCGGTTGGATCCAATGGTTCACAAGGATGTGATAGTTCGTATTCCAAGGTGAAATCAATTTATTGCGTTTTTGACATCCGCCTGACATAATGGTTGTGTGGCATCGGTGCGTCATCGGTACGCTACCTCATGCTGAGGCCGGACTGGTTGAACCAACCCGATCCCGAGCCATTGGCTGGACCATGATCAAGGACAAAACTCGGACCAAATCACCTCAAGTTAAGACTACTCCCTCACCGGACTCGGGACTGGGGGGCAATTGATGATGGGTAATTTGGTCCTCCAATGATATCATGACATGTGGCATGGCAAAACAGTAGAGTGAGATCTGGGCACTACATAAGCAAACCCCAGGAGCACTTCAGACACTTCACAACTGCATCAACAACCTCAGCATCACTCCAATAAGCCGAACTGCGAATAGCCAAGCAAGACCTCAGGTCGGCCTAAGAGGTGACTTGCTTCCACCGATCCAACCCGACTCCAGTTAGCGACCTGCCTGACGTGTCAAGAGACTTCCCCCTTAAGCAGGCTATTGCCTCCAAATTCCCCAAGGTTACGACAACATGTCAGAAGACCCAGTTATCGCCCCACCCACTTTGGGCAGGATTGGATAAACGTTACCCACTTACGCGGAGTCCACTTCCAGGCATAAAACCACCTCCGAACTAGACGGGCCAGAGATCCGGGACGCGTTTAATGAGACTCATGATAGGTCACCTATATAAAAGCCTCACCTCTCACCTCACACGGTATGCATGATTTAGGTCTCTCAATTCTCTAGCTCTCTTGCTTTCTTGCAAATAACTACAAAATCGTTAACTTAAGCATCGGAGTGTTCACCCCAGGTCAAACTACCCGAACATTGATAACCACTTTCTTACATAGGGAGCACCACATTGCACATCCATCAAATAAACTTTTATTAGTTATTTTTTGGTTTTGCTTAAAATATAATGAATTTTAAATAACATCCCAAAACACAAAGATACATTTTTTACAGCCCTGTATAGTTTATTGGGTTTGATCCTCTGCCTCAATGGATGCTGATCGACTTCTAAGTAATTATCTCAACTTCAGTAGGCCACAAAGATTAAGACCCGATTGTTGGTCCCTTGGTAAAATTAACTTGCAATTTGCCTTAAATATATCAGTTTTTACCATGTTATTACAATTTTCATATATAAAATATAATTTCCAAGGCTATAATGTCATTGCACAAAAAATTATGTCAAAGCACCTATGTAATAAAAAATTTGCTGAGTGGCCACCGTTCAGTTTCCACTCACCTCTTATTTGCCTTCGCTACAGAAGAGAAAAAACAGAAATGAGTTGACACCAATAGTGCCTTATGTGGGCCCCACCTAAAGATTCCAGCTTAATCGAGGTCTCTCACCAGGGTTCCATCTCACCTGTTTTGACGGGCAAAAGGGTTCCAATAATTCACTCTGTGCATCTCGAATTGGGATCTGCTCTTCACAGAGTGCGCCTGCCATCACCCTCAGCCACATCCCACCTTATATTAAATAATAAATACAAGAATGGGAGATATTCTCGATGTACAGCCATGACATGTTGTGAGAACGGTGTAAAGGTGTGTTCTATGGGGAAAAGATCCGGACTCGTGGGTCTCACTCTCACATGTTGGTCGTCCCTCATATGGGTCCCGCAGTTTCCTTTCAAAACTGTATGTGGGTCATGCTTATTGTCCCACATGTGTGGGTTCACCTATTGGCCGTCCCAATCGTTCTATATGTGGGTCATATGTTTGGACCCAACCCATGTTCTAAAGCAAGTCAAATTTCTCATTTTAATTTAATTGAGAACATGTTCTTCAGTTTATTATGTAAAATTTCAGTTCCCCTCTTAAATAAGCAAGGAAAGAAAATCAGAGGTAAAGTGTTTGTTACCTGGAGCTGCATAGCCAATGGTTCCTTTTAATCCAAATGAGCTGGTCTGATTCCGGGAAGAGTCCTTTGTGGCCTGTAAAAGTAGCCTCGCTAGACCAAAATCACCAACATGAGCAGTCATATCTTTGTCCAGAAGAACATTACTTGGCTTCAAGTCACAATGAACAATTGGCGTTTGGCAATGATGATGAAGATAATCCAAAGCAGATGCCACATCTATCGCAATGTTAAGCCTCTGAAGAATGTTCAAGTTTCTGCAGGCTTCATTCTCAAGGTCATCCCTGTTTGGATGCAACCACTTCTCCAAGCTCCCGTTGGGCATGAATTCATATACCAAAGCTTTGAAATCATTGCCCTTGGAATCCAGACTCGAGCATGAAGTTAAGATCCGGACAAGGTTCCGATGGCGAATGCTCCTCAGTGCATTGCATTCAGCGATGAAGCTCTTTGAAGCTTTTGGGTGTTGAAGGTTGAGCACCTTCACTGCAACAACTTTTCCATCTTGACTAAGAATTCCTTTGTATACAAAGCCAAAGCTACCCGAACCAATCAAATTAGCTTCAGAGAATTCACCAGTAGCTCGAAGGAGCTCTTTGTAAGAAACTTTTGGATATTGGTCGCCCACTGATGGAGATGTTGATGAAGGTTTTGCTCTAGATTTTCTTATCCAATAGAGAGCAAGCAGACAGCAAATCAACAGAAAACAGGGAAAACTAACAATTATGGCAATTAATACTTTGGACATGGCAGACTTCTTTCTTTTCTTGTGAGTGGAGCAGATGGGCAAGTGTAGTACAGGAATTCCCCCACAAAGCTTATTGTTTCCTTGCAATGAAATTGCACTTGAATTTCTAAATACTCCTTTGGTTGGTACCTCACCCTCTAGATTGTTGAAAGACAGATCCAGACTCTGCAAACCCCCAAGTTCGATCAGATTCTTCGGAATTTGGCCTGATAGATTGTTGTGTGAAAGATCAATCTCTTCAATATCCTTTAATGAACTTAGAGATGTAGGAATTGTTCCATCAAACAAGTTATTGTTCATATATAGGTCTTCCAAACTCAGACAATCACCAATTGTTGAAGGGATTTCACCAGACATTTTGTTTGCAGAGAAGTCCAATACCAAGATACTCTGCAAGTTACCCACCTCAGACGGCAAGGAACCAGATAGAGAATTATGATCGAGGTAGTAGGATAGGGAAGAAAGACCAAAGACTTCTCTTGGAATGGGGCCAGAAAGATTGTTAGAACCAAGATCTACTTGTTTTAAAGATTTGCAATTTCCAAAGCTAGAAGGAATGCTTCCAATCAGTTCATTCTGGTTTAAGAAAAGTTCATACAAAAATGTGAGATTGCCCAAGGAGGATGGTATCTCTCCAGAGAGTCTGTTGCCATGCATGTCCAATGCTTGCAGCTTCTCAAGTTTTTCAATACTAGATGGAATAGTGCCTGATAATAAGTTTTCCCCCATGGACAGTAAAGTTAAGTTGATAAGGTTTTCAATCCCCAGAGGAATGGTTCCAGATATTTGGTTTCTTCCCAGATACAGATATTCAAGTGTGGTTGAGAGGTTGGTTATAGAGCTTGGAAATGTACCTCCAAACCCATTAGTGGATATGTCTAAAACCTCTAAGCTACTACAGTTTGTCAAAGAAGAGAGGAAACTCAAATCGTCAGCTTTCCCTGTTCCGAATCGATTATTAGCAATTGCAAACAACCAAAGATTCTGCAGAGCACCAAAGTTCTGAGGAATTGGTCCAACGAAGCTGTTACCGGTGACAGTAAATATTTCGAGTCCTGAAATATTGGTCAGAGAAGCTGGGATTTGTCCAGTGAAAAGGGTATATGCAACCTGGATTTGTCTGAGGCTTGGAAGCCTAAGACCCATGTCCACTGGAAATCTCCCATGGATTTGATTGAATGGAATGCTTATGACACTGAGATATGAAAGGTTGTACAGTGAGTAGGGGAACACACCAGACAAATTGTTTGCACCAACTACTAGACTTGTTAAGCTTGTCAAGTGGCCTAGTTCTTCTGGGATGCTTCCTTCTAAGCGATTATATGAAAGAAATAGATCTTCAAGTGATGAGAGGTTGCCAAAGGAAGCTGGGATTCGTCCTGTCAACTGGTTTTTGCTAAGGTTGATATGAAAAAGCTTGGGCAGAAATCCCAGTTCAATTGGAATATTTCCACTCAGATTGTTATTCAGTAACCTCAGCACTCTAAGATTGCTGCACTGTGACAGATTGCTGGGAATTTCTCCTCCCAGAGTGTTGTTGGATAGACTGATATACCGCAGACGGAACAAACGGCCGAGCTCCTGGGGGATTGAACCGTATAAGCTATTGTTTTGGAGATAGATGTAACGAAGAAATGTGAGATTACCTATATGAGGAGATATGGTTCCAGTCAAGTGGTGGCCCTCTAGATTCAATATGACAACTCGCTGATGCCGGCGACCACATGTGACCCCTCGCCACTGACAGAAATGGAGGGAGTCGTTCCATGAACTCAGTACTCCCTTGGGATCTGTTGTCTGATGCTTGAACTCAAGCAAAGCTTGCTTGTCTCTCTGGTTTCCTAAGGTGGCTATGGTGGAAGTGGAACACTCTGAAACTACGAAGTTTGTAAACAAGGCAAGAATGACATACACAGTAGATGACTTAAATAGGATTGTTGAAATCATTAATGGAAGCTGGAGCTTCATTGGGACTTCGAGAATAACAAAGCTAGGTTATTGAGATGGTAGTTGCTGCAATTCTAACCATTTATAAGAATTCTGATGCACATTAGTTTCAGCTTGTTCATACAGAGAAGGAAAATGCCAACACGTATTGACATTGACAGACACCCAATTGGTCAATACACATATAATTGAAGGCCTGAAGTGTAAGTACAGTTTTGAAGAAGAGAATATTAATTATTAGCAAGAAAAAAGGGGTAAATTGGTGAAACCTCTCTTTTAAATATCTGACAGTTGCTGAACTTTTTGACAGAGTTGCAAGTAAATTCCTTTGTTAAAATCCTCTAATAAGATGCACGGAAAAATGTCTAAAATATCCATACAGATTGGGGCTAGTTTTTACTGATACAAACTTTAAAAATGCAGTTTTGCCTGAGTAATTGATATAAAGGAGCAAATTTGAAAAATAAATAAATTTCAGAAAAGAGATTGGAAGTGCTTGGTATAGCAATTGATATAAAGAGAAAATTTAGAAAATAAACATTTTAGTCAAAAGTAATTGCAACCGGTATTTTGGACATTTTTGTCCTTATAAGATTCTAACAGAAGGGGTCTACTTGCAACTGTATTAAAAAAGTGTCCATCCAGTATTGAATCCAATTAACACGTTTCGCTACTTAAAAGACAGAATAATAGGTGATTGAAACAGTATAATCATTTTAAAAAGATAACTTTCCTCCCTTGAGCTGTGTCTGGTTTGGCATAAGTACGAGAWTCAGAAAGAGAGGACCAGAAGGCTAAGAACTTTCCTACTTTGCATTTCTCCCAACTTTTTATTTCTCTCTTATTTTTTTTTTATCGAGCAAAACAGCTAGCATCCCACATGGCATATATTTGCAAGTACCAATCTACTTCCAACAAGATACTACCAAACTTGGGGTGAGCAGGTGAGCATGGGTTGGTTTGGTTCAGTGGAACTGGAACCTACCCTATGAAAGTTGGTTCTGGCCTTGGTACGATGGATCCAGGATCCGTTTCAAGGTCTATCTGTGGAACCTGTTCTTTCTTTACTCATTCTTTAAAAAAAAATAATAATAATAATAATAAAGAAAAATGAAACATGTTCTTTAAAAATGTGGTTTCCAATAAAGATAATATATAGTTTAAAACTTATATTATCTTTATTGATCAAATTGAGTAACTTAATATGTAGATTATCATTATATGGTTCAAAACTTATAATTTACATTTAAATTTTGTAAATATTACCTTTTACATTACTTATTGTATATATTCAAATATTAAAATGAAAACAAATGATTAAATAACTTAAATAACTCAATAGCTAAGTGACACCATGGCCTTTGTAACCATGAGTGTTGGGGTTTAAATCTTCACATCCCCAAAAGTATTTTGGGGTTTATTTCAAAACAAGTTTGGTCCAAGGCAGGTTCCACCAAGGTCAGTTCTACCAAGGCCAACCAAGGCCGATTCATCAGGTCGGTTCCGGTAGGGTAAACCTATAGGTCCTAGAACCAGCCTAAGTGGGAATCGGTTCTAAAAATTTGGAACAAGACCCTACCCTATAACAGATTAGATAAGATCGGTTAAAGACTAATTTGAAATAGGCTCCATTCAGTTCTAGATAGAAGCTGCTCACCCCTACTACCAACACAACTCCTAACATGATCTATGGCTATTTTATGATGGACGATGAATTGCAGACTTGTGCTAATAAGTGGCCATAAATCATGTTAGCTGTGTTGGTAGTGAACTGTTGGTAGCAAACGATGACCAAGGTGCCCTTATGTCCATAAATTAAGTATGATTGGAGAAAGACCAAACGGTTTCCACAGCCAATGAAATTGGACTCTTTTCTAGCACTCAAGTCTTAACCTAGTCAATATACAAGTTAGGTGAAAGTGCAGTCAAAAGCCAAACGTTTTATATTCCAGTAGACAAAATAAAAACTGTAGTTCACAAAACACGACAACCTTTGGACGTGACCTCCACTCCAAACGCGGTTATATTTGCGAAAGGGAAAGTCATATTTGACGCAAAAAGTAAATGAAGTTAGCGTGTTTTGGACCTTCTGGTCTTGCATCAATGAGAACACAGACTGATAGACAGAAGCATCATTAACAAAAATAATGCTATCCTACACTATCTTGCCTAGAGATCCGGAAGTTATTAATTACTTATTGAACACTCTCTATTACCGAAGATCTACAATGTGTTTTGATTATCTAGCCTTTTATTTGAAAATTTGTCCCACTTCACATTTATTCCGAAATGCTATAAATGATATTTAGGCTGCGTTTGGAAATGATATAAAAGGGTTGTAAATCGTGGTTCAGGGTAAATTTGTATTTTGGTTCATTTTTGCTTGGATTTGGCAATATTACATTTATGTATTGATAAATGACAGAAAATATATTTTTCAATATATATTTACATTGATAATAAGATGTAAAAGTAAATTTGCATTTAAGCCCATGCTTTATTAAAATTCGTGTTTGCATCCATTAAGCTAAAACTCTGTTTGGTAAGAAGGTAAATTTGTCAGTACAAAACTAACCCAACTTTGCAATTTATATGAACTGTTTTACACTCTACATATTTGCATTTACACTTATTAGCATCCTTTATAAACGCAAACTTAATTAGATTGTTTATTAATTTTTTTTTTTTTTTTGTGCGAGAACCAACCGTTTGAGAAAATCATTTTAATGTTTCTCCCATCACTTAACCGTTCATTTACTGTTCACCTAATTGTCAAATAACATGAAATAAACATTTATCAACCAATTTCTCATTTTTCAAGATAAATATAATACAAAACATTATTGAACAAACGACCACAGTACCAAACACTCTCCTAGTCAATACAAACTACAAAGGAAGGATAGGAGATCAATTTTGAAAATAAATTAGAAAAGAAAAGTGTGTAGCTAAAATTGGAGATCAATATTGATTGTCCACGATCTATAAGCTCCTAGCTGGAAGATGACCTGGACCTTAGTCTTGTAGCGAGCTGAACCAGGCCGCAAGACAGAGGATCAGAGAACCCTGGGTGGCTAACCCGACAAGGTTGCTCTGATGCTTAAGTTAGTACTGGGTTGTGCGAGCTAAAAGTTTATATGCTAGTAAGCTAGTGAGCAAACAATCGTGCGTACTTGAGTCTTGGGGGTTGATGCCCTTATATAGCTGGGACGCCGTAGGTCTCTCGAAACGTTCCTGAAATCTTCGGCCCGTGATGTTGGGATCCATTCTGCTTTGGTAGGGGAGTAATGTATCAATTAATGATGTTTATCGTTTCCCTCCGATTCGGACGAGGAGAAGATAAGGCCAACGGTTACGTAACGTGATCCCGGGTAGTTCAAAGTCTGTTGAGAAACTTCTAGAATCGATTACGTGGCACCTCGGCATAAATGGGTACCGAAGTGATATTGGCTCCAAGGCAACCGAGCACCCAAGCTCCCCTATCTGCTGACATGGCACTTCGCGCTGAGTTGTCGTCCTACTGATAGGCCGCATCTACGTGTCCTTTACTTACTAGGTCGAGCCAAATCACCCCTCATCAATTGCCCCACACACCCCGTGTCGGGGGTCCCAACCCGGTGCAGGAAGTTCATGAAGAACCCAGGTGGATTTGGCATGATTTCCAAATGGTAGGGAGGGTGGCTCATTGGTTGGACCAGCACGGCCACTTGGCTCAATCGAAAATGACCCAGATCGCCTACCAGGTACAAACAGACATCACACCATTTATAAACTCTACAGACATCAAAACATGCGCTCAACCAATTTTGACCTCAGGTGGTGTGCAACCGGTTTTCAAGGGAGTTGTTGGATCGTGCARATCTCAACTGTTGAACCCCGATCGCGGTGGCAATAAATAGGGGCCGAAGGGGCCCATTTTCCTCGTCATAAATTGCGTGCTCGAGTTTGTTAAGGTCACGCTTCAGTCTTCCAGGTCGGTGTCATTTGCCTGTGCATCCGAGGTCTTCTCGCTTCCTTCAGTCTTCTTGGTGAGTTCRTCTCTTCTTGTTTTCGTTTCCTGTTGCCCTCTTCCTTTAGTTCAGTATGTCTAGTGTTAGTTTGTATAGCCTTTTTTATGAGAGTGGAGAGTCCGTCAGGGCCGAGGTGGGCACCTCGGCGCAAGCCAAAAAGTCTCACCCTATCGAGGTGGATACCTCAGTGCGGGGTGCAAATTCCAACCAGCCCGATAACCTCGTATACAGCAAATTCCGGCAAGGGAGCCTCCACTTCGCGTTGGGCTCAGGGACTGGATAGCTTCGGCCCTTCTACAATGACGGCTGACAGGATTCTGTCCCTGGTAGCTCGGTACAAGCTGCCCGATAATCGAGGTCATCAATTTTTTTGACATTGCCATAGATCAGCTCGACGCCAACTCAAGCCGCAATATTGTAGGTACCATCTCCCTTTTCCACGACTACAACCGGCTTTTGAACCTTGAAATTTTCTCGTCGATCTGTTCTATAAAAAAGAACTCCGCTAATGTTCTCCCCGAACATAGGCGAAGCTACTACATGTCTCCTCGTCCTAGTTACAAAATTTTTGCACGACCTTCCAAATAAAGTCCTGAACTAGAAGAGGCACTACTTCATAGTTCATAATGCTGTGGGGTGGCCATTTCCAACCCACTGGAGACCTACCATTCAGGACCCTGCCTTCATGTTGGACAAATGGACAAAGGAGGAAATCTGATCTTGGGAGAAGCTCGGGTTGAAGTTCAAAAACTTCGTGACCGAAGAAAAGCTCATACAAGCCCGACTAAGTCCTCCTGGTAGGTTGCCACCTTGATTGTCATACTTGTTTTCTTCTTCACAGTTTATCTTGATCTTGGGAATTAATCTATTCGTTACATTTTGTAGGAGCCATGGTTGACATCCCTGCTGTGGAGCTCTTCGGTAGCATGAAGAAGGGGAAGAAGAGGAAGGCCTCCAAGAAGGCCCATCTCCATTAGGCTGCCACTACCGCCCCTAAGCATCCTCTGGTTGCCGAGCACCCTCCGGTTATTGACTTTGTCAAGGAAGACCAAGATAGGGC